TTTTTTTTTTTTTTTTTTTGGTACCAGGGATTGAACTCGGGTCCTTGTGCTTTCGAGGCTGGCAGTGGCACCACTGAGCTAAATCCCTGGCCCCCAGAAGCATTTTTATATGAAGCAAAATACATTTTTGTAGCTTCCCCAGGCAGCTATAAACTTTTTTGTTGAAGTTCAGCATTTTTCAAAGTATAGAATAGAAGGTTGTGGGTTAGAGTCAGAAAGGGAAAGTTATATAGCTTCTCATTTTAAAAAGGAAAAACTCCTTTGCATACTTCCTGGTCTGGAAATTATTTTAGTCATAGTGTACTTATAAAATCATGATTATTTGTTACTCGAGTAGACATTTTATATGTTAATGATGTTTCTGTGACGCTTTCTCCTGGAAGTGTGCTGTGTTTTGTCTCTGGAAGGTTGGGTGGTATAGGTAGGAAAATGGGCAGGGGCCACTGACACTTCTGTGAACTGCCTGTCCTGGCCAGCTTGTCACTGTTTGCATTTTGCTGTTGTGTCTGGGCCTTGGAACTTTGTCTTTATGACCCAGAATAGTGGCTGCCTTAGCACATACTCATCTTGAGCTCATCGTTGTGTTTTCCTGAGTTGGGTGATTTGAAGGTCAGCCTCTTCTTAGTCTGGGATGGCAGGGACTGGCACAGACTGGCACATCTGATTCTACCTAGCTTCATTGTGGTATTTTTTTGGGAGTTTCTAAAAAATATTTTTCTGAGGATTCAAAGAATGCAGAAATTTAGCAGATTGATTACCAAAAAATACAGTACAGCTTGATTATCCATATCAGAAATACCTGGGGCCAAAAATGTTTCTGGTATCAAGAGTTTTTCATATTTTGCATTTTTGCATCTGTTTTACCAGTCGAGTATCACTGGCCCCCACAGTCTGACATCTAAAATGCTCCAAAATCCGAAACGTTTTTATTTTGATGTTAGTGTGCAAATAGATTCAGAATTCAGATGTTCAGATTATAGATGCTCAGTCTGTGTGAATTTCTGGCCTTAGTCCCTCAGATGGTCAATAAAATAGAAAGTTCGATAAATCAGCAGGAAACTGTATTGTTGTCCTGGTGGGCTCTGTTTTGTTTTGTTGAGACAGGGTCTCACTATGTAGTTCAGACTGGCCTCAAACTCAAGGTGATCCTCCTGCCTCTGCCTCCAAAGTGCTGGATTACAAGCAAACCCACTGTGCCTGGCAAGGAAACATTATCTGAAACCGTGATGCCGTACAGCACCAGGCAGGAGTCATCACCTAGGTTCTCCCAGGTCAGTGCTATCACTGCAGTGGGGCCCTGCAGCCACACAGGACAGCAGTCTGCACAAAGTGGACTTGGACATGCAGGGAGCACAGCGAGTGAAACGCACACCCACGGGGACACAGTCGGTGGTGTCTTTTCAGAAAGCACAGATGAAGCCAGGTGTGGGGACACCGTCCTGTAAGCCCATCTCTGAGGAGGCGGAGGCAGGAGGACTGAGTTTTAGGCCCTGTCTGGAAGAGAGAAGATGGAGGGGAGTGAGTCTCAGGGTGACTGAATAACGAACCCTAGAATTCCAAGATCTGTGGCGAAAATCACGTTTTGGAGGGGGTTTCTGAAACCTGAAAGCTAATTTCTCTTCAACTCCTGTTAGGTATTAAAGCCAGTATTTTAATCTATTCCATTTGAATTATTTCTTTTGGATTAGAATTAACAGTTTTTTCAGGGGGGGTGCCAGGGATTGAACTCGGGACCTTGAACTTGTGAGGCAGGCTTCAGAACCACTGAAGTAAATCCCCAGCCCTAAAATTAACTTTAAAAGTACCAACTCTGGGGTTAGGATTTAGCTCAGTGGTGCCACCACCTGCCTCATAAGCACAAGGTCCCAAGTTCAATCCTTGGTACCCACTGCCCCCCCAAAAGAGTAGCAGGTCTTAAGTTCTTTAGGTGTTCAGAACACCTTTTAATTCTTCATTGCTGTTTTCCCTGAAAATACAGAATGAACCGCAGTTTCACATCACACATAAACATGGGACTTAATGTTTCCTCACCCCCTTCTTAGCAGGGCAGGGACTGGGTGTGGTGCTGTTCCTCAGGAGGGCAGAAGGAGGATGCAGGAACAGTGGCACTCTTGTGCGCAGTGTGCTTGGGATCGTAGCAGAGCTGGAGGAAGAAGAGGGCAGAGCCGGGCACGTGGCAAGTAACCTTGTGTGTGGGCCGAGGGCTTTGTCTGCTCCCTTGGAAGCCACTGCTCTGTGGCTGGCAGAGCAGGGAGGGATGCTGCGGGGGCAGCCCCACCTGTCCCTTGCCATCAAGTTTGATTCTTTCTGCAGCTGCCCAGGTGCTCAGGAATGGGTGTTGTGCAGGTAACCAAGCCGTTGTCCTTTACTTCGTGAGTTAAGATGCAGTGCTCACCTAATTCACAAGGCTGCAACACACTTCATTAGTAGTTTAAAATACATTAAATAGTTTTTAGGTGGTAGCACGCACCTGTAATCCCAGCACTCTGGAGGCGGAGGCTGAGACGGGAGGATCGTGACTTCAGGGTCAGCCTGGGCTACACAGCAAGTTAGAGGCCAGGCTTGAATACATAGCAAGACCCTGTCTTAAAAAACGTATGCACCTCTGAGTGCTGAATGCCTCTGCAAATGTCTGTAGAGACTGAGTGAACGCCCAGAGGGGTCCTCAGGCGCCGCCAGAGCTCTGCTCCTTGCTGTCACTTGACTCTGAGCAGCTGTACGTTGAGGCCGCGGCAGCCTCGGCAGGATGCTAGAGCAAGCAGGTTGTGTTTGTGGGTCAGCTTCCGGTGGGGCAGTATTAATAGCCCTGTTATTAGGAACCGCTTTCCTCTAAGGACTTGTTTAAATGTTTCTGCAGAAGTTGAATGTCCAATTTGTATTATTCCGAGGTGTAACCATTTACAGAGCAGTAAAAGTACGCTGGTGATCTGCAAACTCAGTTTCTCCAAGTGAGAATTAGACGCACTTGGTCTTCCGGCGGGAGGCGGTGGGGGGGCGGCCGGGCGGCCGGGCCTGCGCAACTGCAGCCGCCTTCGAAGCCACCGCCCTGCCCCGCCCTGCGCAGGCTCTGTGGGATGCAGGCGTCCCCGCGATTTCTCCCGTGTGGATGCGGAGTGCTTAGGGTGGAGGCGAGATGACTCATCGTTCACATAATTTCAGTGGTATCTGTGATTTACTTCTGGTATTGGGGTGTTACTTTTATTTTCTGCCTATTGCTTCAGTGTCATTTTGAAGACACATTTTATGTAAATGAGAGCGGTATTATGGAAATTTACAAAGTTGAGGGAGGAAATAGTTCATGTTATCACCACCTTGACACCTGTTTTAGCTTGAGTGCTGCTTTATATGCTCTGGTCCAAGCCCTTCCCTGTTACAGAGCAATCACAATGTGTGCCTGATTTTAGGCAAAATGATTTTTTTTTTTTTTTTTTTTTTAAGAAGCAGGGTCTCACTGTTATGTCAGGCTGGTCTTGAACTCACTGTGGAGCCCAGGCTGGCCTTGAACTCCTGGCAGTCCTCTTGCCTCAGCCTCCCAAGTGCTCAGATCACAGGCGTTTGCCATCATGCCCAGTTTAGACAGCATAATTTGATTGTATAGCCACATTTGAATGGTTAAAAGAATCAATCCATATAGGGCTTTTAATTTTTTTATATAGGATTGATTTATTTATTTTGGTACAGGGATGAAACTCAGGACCTTGCACTTTCGAGGAAGACTTGGTGCAACTGAGCTAAATCCCCAGCCCAGATAGTTCTTTTGTTGTTGCTGCTGTTGTTTCGTTTTTTGAGACATTGTCACTATGTATTTCAGGATGACCTTGGATTCATCTCTGTAGCCAGGTTGACCTTGAACTTGGCATTTCTTCTGCCTCAGCTTCCTGGGTGCTGGGACTAGAGGCATGTGCCACCACACACCCTATGTAGTTTATTTTAATAGTCATTTTGGTTTAAATTTTGGCATCGCCTAGGAGTTTCTCTGGTGAGAGTCCTACACTAGAAGAAGGACATGCTGGGCCTGTTGGTTGCGCGCACTGTCTTGTTCTGGTGATGCAAGGCCTGGTGGGCAGCAGGAACTTGATCCTGGGGTTCTGCACTGTTTGGCCGGTGGTTCTCCCTGGTTGTGGTCTCCTTGCCTTGTGATCCGGATAGAAGAGGCCTGGGTGCCCTTGCCTCAGCAGCACTGGGTAGCAGTGCCCTTGGTAGGCAGGCCCTTTGGTCCTGGACGAGCTGTGAATGCCACTGTGTGGTAGCACAGACCCACATTCCCGCTGCAGGACAGTTTCTCGAACACCCGTCAGCTGTGTGCAGCTTCCCTGAGACTTCCTCTTCTAGCTAAGACACAGAGCTGGCAGTTCCACCTGGTGTGGCAGGGCTCAGTTCAGAGGCAGTGCCCACAGCCCTGTGGTGCTCTGTCCACGCTGGCCCGCACCCAAGAGGAGACAGCGTGCTTTTCTAGCAGCTGGGAGTCCTTTGCATGTAGTGTTCTGCCACCACTCCTAGCCCCCACCAAAGTAGTTGAGGAGAATTGCCAGTATGTCTCTGTCTTCAGTGGGAATCTTGTTCTTTTTTAAAAACTAACAGAGCAATAGCATTTGCATGGATCCTCTACACCCAGATGTCAGCTTTTTAGTACTTAGAAACCTTAGTGCCCACCCGCCCCTGCACCGTGCACTTTTACCTCTCATGAGTCCAGGCTCCAAGGAAGAATAACAATTTCCCAGGGAAAGCTTAGCCTTGGTGTCAGGCTGAACTTTGTTTAATCCTCATCCAGAACTTTTGTTGACATGCATTTCTCACAGTATGCATGGCAAAGGCAGTTTTTCTAGCATGGTTCAGGCTTCTCATGGATTAGTACTTGAAGTACAAGTTAGGATTTCTTATTCAGACCTAAAAATTTTTATTTGACTTTTCTTTTAGTGTTAGGGATTGAATTAAGGACCTGGTGCATATAGGCAAGTTCAGTAGCACTGAGCTTTCCCCAGCCCTTTAATTTTTAGATTTGACTTTGAATTATTTAAAGTTTTACCCTCGTGTGTCTTGAGGCTGCCTTATTGTTGCATCTAGTGAGATGTTTTCCTGTTGTTGCTTTGTTTTGCACTGGGAAGTGAACCCAGGGCCTTTACACTGAGCTACACCCCCACCCCATTTTATTTTTTAAGACATGGTCTCACCAAGTTGCCCAGGTTAGGCTCAAACTTTTGATCTGCCTCCGCCTCCTGAGTGCTGGGATTGGGGATGTCCCTGACAGCAGCTGTCTGGAGGAGCCTTGCACTGCCGCCTCCCTGTGTGCACCATGAGTCAGCCCTGAGGATGCTCGCTCCAGTGCACTCCGGCAGCTGGTACAGTGGGGGGACCATCCTGACACCTCGCCTGTGCCCCCTGAGAACTGCTTCCCACAGCCCAGGCCAGACTGCCTATGATGAGGCAGGCAGGTGAGCACACCGCCTGCCCACCAGCTCACCCAGCAAGTGAGTGACAGTCACACCTGAGACAGGAAGGATAGGAAGAGAAAATGACGGCACCCCAGCAGCTCAGTGGGATTTTGATTGGGTGCCTTGTTAATGTGCCCATGCCCTTATTTAGGTGCTGGGGCTGAAGTGAGGCCTCACACACTCCCTCTCCCTGGGCCGGGTCCTTAACCCTATGAAGCTCTGATCTGAGACCAGCCGCTCCATGTCCCACGTCATGCCCAGCCCCCGGGGGCTTTAAATGTGAGATCGGCAGTGGGACAACAGTAATCACTCTGTGCAGTTGACAGCTAAGAAATTGGAAATGTTGACATGAATGTGATATATTTATTATGATTTTTAGAGGATGTTGGTGATGAAGGAGAAGAGGAAAAAGAATTCATTTCGTATAACATCAACATAGACATTCATTACGGGGTTAAGTCTAATAGGTGAGTAGTGCAGCCATACCATGGTACTGTATTATAATCTGTCTTGTTGTCTCCAGTTATAATTTGTGATTGCAAATGAACGTAAATCTTAACTGACTCAAAGGTGAGTGAAGTAGTGCATGCCTGTAACCTAACACTTGGGAGGCTGAGGCTGAAAGATTGCAGAGTTCGTGGCCAGCCTGGGCTATTTATCGAGAAATGGTTAAAAAAAAAATCTTACTTGACTCAGATAAGAACATTAAAAAAGAAATTCAGAAGAGCTTTGCTTGTTAAATTTAGCATCTTATCCTTGGTTTCATATTTATAAATTAAGAGGATTTCTAAGATTTTTCTGTTTTGGGGGTTTTTGTTTGTTTTTTGAGACAGCATCTCACTATGTAGTTTAGACTAGCCTTGGATTTACTGTGTCTCCTTGGTGGCCCTCAAACACACAGTCCTCCTGCCTCAGCCTCCCAAATGCTGGGATTACAGGTGTGGGACACCATACTCAGCCCCAAATTGATCTTAATTCTAATTCTTTTTTTTTTTTTTTAATACTGGGGATTGAACTCAGGACTTTGTGCTTGGGAGGCAGGTGGTGGCACCACTGAGCTACCTCAGCCCATCATGAAAGTGGTCAATGCACACTACCAGGTGTCCTGCCTTCCAGAGAGGTTGTGCTGTTTTATACTCCAGTAGATAAATTTATTTATTTATTTATTTATTTATTTATTGGTACTGGGGATTGAACTTGTGTCCTTGTGCTTGCGAGGCAGATAGCAGAACCACTGAGCTAAATCCCTGGCTCCAGTAGATAAATTTAAATGCACGAATATTACAATTTTTTCCATGTTGTCAGAAACCTCTTTACATACTTGGAGTAAGTTCAGAATTACCAGGTGGTGTGATCAGTAGATAGGGTCCCCCTCAGCACATTCAAGTAGAGTTAGAGTTTTATATAACAGAAAGGCTACAGTTACCGAACCTGATTAGGAATGATTAGGCTTTGTTCTAACGTCTCCTGCTGCTTTCTCTCAGTTTGGCGTTCATCAAGCGGACTCCTGTGATTGACGCAGACAAGCCGGTCTCTTCACAGCTGCGAGTACTCACGCTCAGCGAGGACTCGCCCTATGAAACGCTGCACTCTTTCATCAGCAATGCGGTGGCACCTTTCTTTAAGTCCTACATCAGAGAGTCTGGAAAGGCAGACAGGTGAGATCCATTCTTCCTTCTTCCAATCTCATTCAGTGATCAGGACAGTGCAGAAGATGACCTAAACTGAGGAGCTGGGAGGACTCGTTGGCGTTCATAAGCATGTGCATTGTTACTGTTTGACAAGCCTGAAATAACACAACCAGGTGACGAAGCTGTGGCACACTTGCTGCGGTGGGCTGCTGGCATCATTGAAGGCCCTGAGGATTGCCATCATGGTAGCAGGGTCTGTGGAGAGTGGGAGAGCCCTGACACTGAGATTACTTCATACCCTTATAGGGATGGTGACAAAATGGCTCCTTCTGTTGAGAAAAAGATTGCAGAGCTGGAAATGGGCCTCCTGCACTTGCAGCAGAACATTGAAATCCCAGAGATCAGCCTGCCGATCCATCCCATTATCACAAACGTGGCCAAGCAATGCTATGAACGCGGCGAGAAGCCTAAAGTCACAGACTTTGGAGATAAAGTTGAAGACCCGACTTTTCTCAACCAGTTACAATCTGGAGTTAACCGTTGGATCCGAGAAATTCAAAAGGTAAGATTAGCACAGTGTTGATGTGATGTGTAAGAGTGTCAGGGAACGGTGGTGAGAGTGTTGGTGGACCCTGCCCTGGCTGTGGCCTGCCGAGTCCATCCATCTGGGGGACACTGTTGACATGTTACCCGGGAGACCCTGCTCTCAACCGTCTCCTGCCTTTGACCTTGCTCTCAACAGTCTCCTGACTTTGATTCTGTCAGGGACAGAATCCACCTGGATATAAAATTCACTTCTTGTCTGTCAGATGGTGAATACCCTTGAATGTATTTTTATCTCCAAAGGTGACCAAACTTGACCGAGATCCTGCCTCAGGAACTGCTTTGCAGGAAATCAGCTTTTGGCTGAACTTGGAACGTGCGTTGTACCGCATCCAGGAGAAGAGGGAGAGCCCAGAAGTTCTTCTGACACTAGACATCTTGAAACATGGCAAGCGTTTCCACGCCACTGTCAGCTTCGACACTGACACAGGTGAAAACCACGGCTCTTAAGTGGATTGTTAACTTTTTTTTTTTTTTTTTTTTTTTTTTTTTTTTTTTTT